GCTTCTGCCTTTCTGGAGTTGCTCAGTCTAGGGTCGGGGTGCCTCATCTCAACGATCCTGACATTGTAAGCCTGGTGCTTCTCGGTTGTGGGGGCTGCCTGCGCCCTGTGGGATGTTTCGAGGGATCCCTGGCCTCTGCTCACCAGATGCCAGTACCACTAAAGTCTCCAACATGGTCCAGTGTCCCCTGGGGGGCAAACTTGTTGCCCCACCTGTTTGCAAACCATTGGTTTGTGGGGAAGGAGTAGGTGTGCCAGTGGCTGTCACAACTCTGTTTTTTTTTGTGTTGGAATCTTACTCTGTCACCCAGGCTGGAGTTCAGTGGCACGTTCATGGTCACCACAGCCTCTACCTGTTGGGTTCTGGCGATCTTTCCACTTCAGCCTTTCAAGTAGCTGGAACTACATGTGTGGGCCACCATGCCCGGCTAATTTTTAAAAAAAATTTATTGTAGAGACGCGGTCTCGCCATGTTGCCCAAGCTGATCTCAAATCTGTGGGCTCAGGCAATCCTCTTGCCTCTGCTTCCTAAAGCACTGGGATTACAGGTGTGAGCCACCATGCCTGGCCTACAACTCAGTGTTTTAAATGCTGAGGCAGGCAGACACTGGGACCCTTATCCTGGTCAGAGGAAGAAGTGACAGCCACTCTGGGACCTGAAGGTGGGGTAGGAGCTAGCCAGGGGGGAAGGGTGGCTGTCCTATATGGAGGCTTGGAGGTGAGGTTATGATTTAGGGTGATGAGAGGGGTGCCGTATGGCCCAAGACCAGGGGTGCGGTGAGTGGAGGTCAAGTTCTTGAGCTGCTCTGTCCACTAGAACTTTCTACGAGGGTGGGATGTACTGTCCTGTATAGGGGTCCCTAGCCACCTGTGCTGTTGAGCATTTGAAATGTGGCAGGTGTGATTGAGGGGCAGACATTTTGATATTATTATTTTGAGTTCGGGTCTCTGTCACCCAGACTGGAGTGTAGTAGCACGATCACAGCACACCACAGCCTCGACCTCCTGGACTCAGGCAATCCTCTCGCCTCAGCTTCCCGAGTAGCTAGGACTACAGGTGTGCACCACCACACCTGAATAATGTTTTGATTTTTGTAGAGATGAGAATGTGGTCCAAGCTGGTGTTGAGCTCCTGGGCTCATGCGATCCTCCTGCCTTGGCTCTCTCAGATAGTGAGAGCCACAGTGCCTGACCTGATATTATTTAATTTGGTTGTAAATGGTAACTCGTGGCCTGGGTGTTGGACAGAGCAGTTCTAAAGTGTAGCCACTCCTGAAGGATTTTTGCAGGGCGGTGATGTGATCAGGGTGGCAAGAAGGAGCGGGGATGGTGGGGCAAGAGGAAGCTGGGAGTTTAGCCCAGGGCACTGGCGGGTGGCGGAGAGACGGGTGCAGAGCGCAGAGAGGTAGGACGAACCTGCCTTGCTGGTGGTCAGGATGTGGGCCGGGGACAGGGGGAGTCGGGGTAACGCTCAGGCTTCTGGTGCGGTGACTCAGGCGAACGAGCATGTGTAGGAGAAAGGTGTAGGGCTCAGAGTGGTCCTTGTTGGGCTGTGATGGAACAGTCTAGCAGCCAGGTTCAGCAGGAAGCCAGGAACAGAGGCCAGGAGTTCAGGAAGGTACCAGGGCTGCGGTCGGAGATCTGGGAGGCAGATCCGTGTATGTTTGAGAGCCACCAATCCCAGAATCCTCTGGATTCCTAATACAGATTCCTGGGCCCTGTCCTGGATTTTTTTAGCCGGAAGTACAGGGGATGGCCTGTGGCATGAATTTACAATAGGCACAGAAATGTAGAAATGGCTCTGAAATCTTGAGAATACATGAACTCTCTCAGATAGTGGTGTGGAAAGGGAAGTCTTCTGTTTTTTTATTTTTAGAGGCAGGGTCTCGCTCTGTTGCCCAGACTAGAGTGCTGTGGCTGGTTATAGCGTACTACAGCCTCCAACTCCTAGTCTCAAGGGATCCTCCCGCCTCAACCTCCCAAGTATCTGGGACTACAGGTGCGCACCAACAAATCTGGCAAGTTTTTTTGTTTTATTATAGATGGAGTCTTGCTATGTTGTGCAAGCTGGACTTGAACTCCTGACCTCAAGTGATCCTCCCATCTGGGTCTCCCAAAGTGCTGGAATTTCAGGCATGGGCCACCCTGCCTAGTTTTTTGAAAGAGGACCCTGACGGAAGTCTGTAGATGAGGGTCCAGGAACTCTTGGAAAACTATTATCTAAATATATGTGTGTTGTTTTAGGAAGAGGATCTAAACTTTAATTGGATTATCAGATGGGTCCATGATCCAAAACAACCAAAAATCATGAACAGAGAGTGAAAATGGTCTCTGTTAATTCCCTGTGGGAGTAGATTCCAGATTGACCTTGAAGGGAGGCAATGTCATGGAAGGGTTTAGGCCAGCAGTCTGGGATATTGGTCCCCCTCTTGCTTCGCACCTTGCTGGCTTTGTGATGTTGGACAGGTCACCTGGCCTTACTGAGCCTCCATTGTCCCCTCAGTAAAATGGGGATCATTGCACCAGCCTGATTTCCCGCATGGTTGCTATACAATTTACTCAGTAAATATTTACCCAATGTCCACTGGAGACCAGGTGTTGGACTGAGCCCCAGGGATGGAGGCGTGATCCCTGCTCTTCCCGTCTCTGGTTCCAAGTCAGTGACATACAGTGTTGTGGGGGAAGGGACCAAGGGAGGGCATTTCACAGGATCAGAGGAGGATGTGATTCTCCGGCACAGCTGGGCGCGTGGAGGAAATGTTAGCTGTGCCCCCTGTTTTCCCCCAGAGGACTGACTTTTTATTTCTTTTTTTAAATTGTGATTTTAAAACAGGCTGGGTGCGGTGGCTCACACCTGTAATCCCAGCACTTGGGGAGGCTGAGAATTGCTTGAGCCCAGGAGTTCAAGACCAGCCTAGGCAACATAGTGAGACCTTGTCTCTACAAAAATTAAAAAATTAGCTAGGCGTGGTGGTACGCACCTGTAGTCTCGGCTACTTGGGAGGCTGAAGTGGGAAGATCGCCTGAGCACAGGAGGTCGAGGCTGCGGTGGCCATGAGCGTGCTACTGCACTCCTGCCTGGGGGACAGAGTGAGACTCCGACTCAGAAAAAAAGTATGAAAAACACGACATAAAATTCCATCTTTGTCATTTTTAATTGTGTGGTTAGTATTAAGGATAGCCACATTGACATGAAACAGAACTTTTTCATCTCAAAACTGAAACTCTGTGCCATTAAATAACTGTCCCTCCCTCATCCCTGGCAACCACCATTCTACTTTCTGTCCCTATGAGTCTGACTAGTCACCTCATCACAGTCATACGGTGTTTGCCCTTTTGTGACTGGCTTGTTCTCTTAGCATGGTGTCCTCGAGTTCATCCCCATCATGGTGTGTGCCAGAATGCACTTTCTCTGCAAGATGGAACACCGTTCCATCCATGAATATGCCATGTTTTGTTTATTCCTCTGTCCCTAGACGCTTACGTTGCCGCCACCTCTTGCTATTGTGACCAGTGCTGCAGGGACATGGGTGTGCACATGCCTCCTTGAGACTCTGCCGTGGTCGTAATTGTGGCTGCGCACCCAGAAATGGGCTTGCGGGATCAGATGGTAGTTCTATTTTTAAGTTTTTGAGGAACCTCTGTACTGTTTTCCCCATCAGTTGCGCATGCTACTGTCTCACCAACTGGGTACAGGGTTCCAATTGCACCGCATCCTTGCTGATGTTATCATCTTCGGTGTTTTTGATGGCAGCCATCCTGATGGGCATGCACGGGTATCACGCTGGTTTAGACTGGTGTTTCCTTCATGGCTAGTATGCAGAGCATCTTTTCATGTGCTTGGTGCTCATTTATATATCTTTTAAAAAAATTTTTAACTGGGGTCTCTCTCTGCTGCCCAGATTGGAGTGCAGTGGTACAATCACAGCTCAACACAGCCTCAAACCCCTGTGCTCAAGCAATCCTTCTGCCTCAGCCTTCCAAGTAGCTGGGGCTACAGGTGCACACCATTATGCTTGGCTAACTTTTTTTACTTTTGATTTTGTAGAGATGAGGTATTACTGTGTTGCCTAGGCTGGTCTTGAACAACTGGGCTCAAGCAACCCTCCCCCTCAGCCTCCCAAAGTGCTGGGATTACAGGCATGAGCCACCCCACCCAGCTTCACTTATATATCATTTTTGAAGAAATGTCTGTTCAACTCCTTTGCCCATTTTAAAAATCAGGTTATTTGATCTTTTTGTTGTTGAGTTCTCTGTCTATTTTGGATATTAACTTCTTATCAGATATGTGTTTGCAAATATTTTTTCCCATTCTGGAGGTTGCCCTTGTACTCTGTTGACTGCGTCCTTTGATGCACAGAAGCTTTAAAGTAATGAAGTTCCAGGGATCTATTTTTACTTTTGCTGCTTATGCTTTCAGCATCATTTTATGTGTGTGTGATTTGAAATATAATTCAGTACCATGAATTGACCCTTTTAAAGTGTGCAATTCAGTTTGGTTTTGGTACATTCGCAAGGTGGTGCAGCCATCACCACTATCTAGTTCCAGAAGTTTGTCATCACCCCAAATGACAGCCCTGTGCCCATTAAGCAGCCCATCCCATCTTCCCCCTCCCCAAGCCCCTGACAACCACTAGTCTACTTTCTGTCCCTATATATTTGCCTATTGTAAATTTATAGGAACATTTATATAAATGAAATCTGTATTAGGGACCGACAGAAAAAACAGAACCAACATATATGTAAATACATAGAAAGAGAGTTTTTTTTTTTTTTTGAGTCAGGGTCTCACTCTGTTGCCTGGGCTGGAGTGCAGTGGCACCATCATGGCTCACCGTAGCCTCAACCTCTGGGCTCAGGCAAGCCTTCCACCTCAGCTTCCCATGTAGCTGGGCCCATAGGCACGTATCACCACACCAGCTACGTTTTTTACTTTTTTGTAGGGACGGAGTTTCACCATGTTTTCTAGGCTGGTCTCGAACTCCTGGGTGCAAGTGGTCCTCCTGCCTCAGCCTCCCAAAGGGCTGGGATTCCAGGTGTGAGCCACTGCACCTGGCCAGAAGGAGATTTCTAGTGAGGGATTGGTCCACAGGATTATGGAGGCTGTGAAGTCCCACGATCTGCCTCCCACAGGCTGGGGGCCCAAGAAAGCTGCTGTGTAGTTCCCATCCAAGCCCGAAGGCCTGGGAGCTGGGGAGCCAATGGTGTAAGCCTCATTGTGAATCTGAAAGTCCTGGAACCAAGGTCCAAAGGCCCCCAACCGGGAGCTCTGATCAGAGCAGAAGAGGGATATCCCGGCTCCTGCAGAGAGAACAGATTCCCTCTCTTTCCACCCCTTCGTTCTACTCAGGCCCTTGAGGAATTGGAGGAGGCCTCCTTGAATCCATCAGGGTGGGACTTCTTTTCTCAGTCTACCCATTCAAAGGCTAGTTTTTTCTGGAAACATGCTCACAGACACACCCAGAAATAACATTTTACCAGCTCTCTGAGCATCCCCTAGCCCAGTCTACTTGACACATAAAACTGTACAGTACGTGTAGCCTTTTGTCTGGCTTCTTTCGCTTGGTATGATGGTTTCCAGGCTCATCCATGCTTTGATATTTATCAGCTTTTCATTCCTTTTTATGGCTTAATACATCATCCATTGTATAGATATACCACACATTGTTTATCCATTCATAAGCCTGTGGGCATTTGAGTTGTTTCTGCCTTTTGCTTCTTAGGATTAAAGTTGTTGTGAACATTTGTGTGCGTGTTTTTTGTGGGCAGATGTTTTCTGTTCTTTTGGGCACACACGTAGGAGTGGAATTGCTGGGCTGTAGAGTGACTCTGTTTTAGCCATGCTGTGTTGCAGGCTGACGTTGAGCAAGTGTTTGGGGCTTCCAGCTGCCTTGGGGAGCAGGGACGCCTAGGCTTTAGGTCAGACAGACCTGGGTCTGGATCTCGTGCGCACCGTTCCCCAGCCAAGTGACCACACCCCCACGGTGGAGTACCACGTGAGAGCTGGCAGACACCTCAGTGTTTCTTGGCCCTCTAGAAGGATATGAGGCCGGGACACAGCATCGCAATCATTAGGAGATCCGGCCCCTGGCCTGCACACAGCTCCTTCCACTCTGCCGCCTACACAGGCCTTGTGTGGTGTCTCGGGTGAGAGCCAAAGTGCTGTGGACCACCTTGAACTGCAGAAGCTACAGCCTCGGTTTCCCACCAGGCTTTTCCATGATTCTGTTCACCCAGGCCCTAGGCCTGCTTGCTGGCTCTCAATCCCTCCCATCCGTACAGTGAGCAGGCAGACCCAACAGTCCCCAAGGAACCTCTTTGCAAAGGGAGACCTGGGTCATTCCCAGGTGAGCGTGCTTCAGCCCAGTTAGTTAACCCCTAACTCACAGTGACCTTGAACTTGAACAGCAACCAGGGCACCTTCCAGATCCCAGTTTTCTCATCTGTAAAATGGGGACGATGTTGGCTCTATGATAAGGTTGTATAAATAGGACTAAATGAGGTGACAAATGTCTACAGCAAGCCCAGCAGGGCCCCTCATGTCCCCGATGGAGTCTTGCTATGTTGTCCAGGCTGATTTCGAACTGCTGGTACCTAGTATTCTGATCATGAGCGTGACTTCCAGGTTCTGAGCTGAGCGGAGGCATGTCCTTAGCTGGGACAGGACACCACACTGGGATTCTCCCTGGACTTGGGAGCTGTTCTGCCTGTGGAAAGTTATGCTTATGCTCTCCAGGCATGGTCTTCACAAAAATCCTTCCTCACCCAAAGGTCATGGGTTCCCATGGTTCCCACCCAAAGTAGGAGGATTTCCTCCTGGCCTAGACAGACTTCTTGGATCTGATTTTGGTCACAGTTGTCAGAGCTGGTTTGTTTGTGGGGTTTGGTCAGTGTTTCTTGGTTGGTCCTCATTCAGCTTCATGTGTGTCAGATTGAGAAGAACATTGTCCTCTGGTCTCAGACGCTACAGGAAGTCACGTGTTAGTGGGGCCAGATCTTAAGGCAGACATCACATGAATAAAAACTACCCAGCAAACCCCTAACTCCCCATCAAGTGATGTTTCGTCTTTCTTTTCTATTTTTTTTTAAAGCAGGATTTATTGAGAGGACAGAAAAGCTCTCACAGTAGGAGGGGACCCGAAGGGGTTGCCCCATGTTTAGTCTTTCAAGAAGTCTCCCACAATTAATTTATCCTCCCATGTTGGATACAAAAGTCAAAATGCGCCCTGATGAAATTGCTGGCTGCTTTTTGGGAGAAGTTATAGTGAATGAAAAATAACAGTTGCAAACGCTTATCCAGCATGTACTCTATACGGGCACTGTTCCAATGTTTACTTAGAAGACTTCATTCCCTCTGCATTACAAAGCTAGGAGCTAGGGACTAGGATTTCATCAGTCAAGGCTAAAGAAACTGAGGCAGAGAGAGAGTTGAGTGACTCGCCCAATGGCACACAGCTATTAACTTCAAGGAGGGGATTTGAGCTGGGTGTGGAGTCTCAGGCCTATAATCCTGGCCACTGAGGAGGCCAAGTTGGGAGGATCGCTTGGGCCCAGAGTTCAAGACCAGCCTGGGCAACATTGTAAGACTCCGTCTCTTAAAAAAAAAATTAAGGAAGGGACTTGCACCTTGGGATCTAACTCTAGACTCTGTATCTTCTATCATATTGTGCTTAGAGGGGCCAGATACTCAGACAGGGTGCAACACAAGCTTGGCTGCGAGGCAGCAGGTTGAGGGCTTCTGTCCTGTGCTTACTGTGGGAGGACTCTCTATTTTCCTCATGTGAATGAGAGGGCAGAATCGTCCTGCTGTTTGGGACAGTTTCCCAGCCTCGACACTGTTGATGTCTTGGCCTGGGTGACCCTGTGTGGTGGCGCCTGTCCTGGGGGTTGTAGGCTGTGGGGCAGCGCCCTCCACCTTCCCACTAGATGCACTAGATGCCGCAGTTGTGACAATCCAAAACATATCCAGACATTCCAGATGTCCCCTGGGGGCCAGATCACCCCTGGTCGAGGTCTCTGATTCAGATTATTCTCTCTGCCATTAGTTTTGTTTTGTTTTGAGTAGTCTCACACTGTCCCCAGGCTGGAGTGCAGTGGCATGCTCATGGCCACCGCAGCCTCAACCTCCTGGGCTCAGGCAATCCTTCCACCTTAGCCTTCCAAGTAGCTGGAACTACGGGCATGCACCACCATGCCTGGCTAATTTTTTTTTATTTATTGTAGAAACAAGGTCTCACCAAGTTGCCCAGTCTGGTCTCAAACCCATGGGCTCAGGCAATCCTTTCACCTCTGCCTCCCAAAGTGCTGGGATTACAGGGATGAGCCACTGCACCTGGCCTCTCTTTGCGATTTGGATGAGTTAACTTTGTGTTTGAGGGAACTCAGCATTTCTAACACCTCCATGTGTGACACGGACCCAAGGGAAGCCGGGAGGGGGGCGAGGAAGGAGAAGATGCAGGTGATGGAACAGGTGGCAGCTTGGTGGCTACCCATTATTCTCGAAGTCAATGTGAGCACCTCTCTGATTGGTGCACACACACACACACCTGTGCACACGCCATGCCTCAACACCCCAAGGAGAAGAAGACTTTTAGTTTTTCTTTATTGTTTTTCCAAGATGTCTGCCCACCTCTGTGAGTGAGGACCTATCACCTAAACCCCTGTCCCCTGTGCCATTGGGAAACAAGTCATACTGTTGCCAGCCCTCTAAAACCTATTTTGAAAACATAGAAATGGGCCGGGTACAGTGGCTCAAGTTGGTAATCCCAGCACTTTGGGAGGCCGAGGTGAGGGGATTGCCTGAGCCTGTGGGTTCAAGACCAGCCCAGGCAACTTGGTGAGACCTCACCTCTACAATGGAACAAAAAATTAGCTGGGTGTGGTAGTGTGTGCCTGTAGTTCCGGCTACTTGGAAGGCTGAGGTGGAAGGAGCGTCTGAGCTCAGCAGGTCAATGCTGGGGTGGCTATGAGTGTGCCACTGCACTCCAGTCTGGGCAATGGAGTGAGACTCCAACCCCCCCAAAAAAGAAAATATAGAAATGGAACACACAAGTAGGTCCCACCAAGAGCCATTGTTGAATTTTAAGGAAGGTGCATGATTACCAAGGAAAATAACCCACTGAATCAAGGAACTAGACAATTTCAGTTCTCTTTGATGAAGGCACGGCATTGCATGTTTTGAAATTAACTCCTCACATCTAAGGCAGCTCAGCTTCCTCTTACTTACAGCTCTCGTTCACATGAAGTTGTTGCGTAAGCTGTGCCCGCCACAAAATCACTGAGTGGTGATTTCTGCTGACCTGTGACCTACACAATCTGGGGAGGCATCTGGGGACGGGGGAGGACGTTGGTCAGGTTCCTTGATTCTGCAGGTTGTCTTGGACTACGGCTTGACACCATGGGCCTGGAGTGCTTAACCCACTCATTCATTCATTCCAGGTTGGCACTACTGACACTGGTGACCAGATCCTTCTGCGCTGTGGGGGCACCCTATGCATCAGAGGATGGTTAACAGCACCTCTGACCTCAGCAAGCAGCAGCCCCCAGTTGTGACAAGAAAAATGTCCCCAGACAGTGCTGGGGGACACCCCAAGTCACCATCCTCTCTGAGAATCACTGGTTTATCCTTTCGCTTATTCATATTTTCACTAAATCAACCAAAATTTTCAAGCACCTTTTGTGTACCAAGCACTGGTCTAGGGGACACAGAGAAACCAGACAGGCCAAGTCCCTATCCTCAGGGAGCTGATGTCTTAATTAGGGAGAAGACAATAAAGCTGTAAGCAAATAGCCAAACAAGGCTGCTTCAGAGAGTGCTGCAAAGGGGAATGTGATAAACCGGACCCAGGCGGGCGCCCAGATCAGGGAGGGCTCAGAGAGCACTGTCCCAGGAGGAATATGGGAGCCAGAGCTTGGATGAGGAGGACGAACCAGGTGTGGGGAAACCTATGGGAAGAGAGTTCCGGCAGAGGAAGCAGCATGTGCAAAGGCCCTGGGGTGGGAGTTGTGTTCTGGGGATTGTCAGAGCCAGTACAGG